GGACTCGTTTCTTGGACCCTGGCTTAGAAAGCATCAGCTTGATTGAGTTTTCGCAACTTGGTCGGCATGGTGTGGAACCCTTGAACAGTATGCCCTGTTCTTTGTTTTTTGCCAAATTAATAATGATAACTTTCACCATCATTCCCAGACTTGTTGAGCTTACTTCCATTTCGAGTGAAAGTGTTGGGTGACTCGACAGCTTGAATTTTCTTGTGAAGATGATACCTCGCTCTGATGATGTTCCTCATGTGACGGACGAAAGTTTAGCACCTTTTCACCGGAATCGAAGGAGATTGCCTCGGAAACAGCGTCAGCGCCAATCGACAGCTGGTGAAGAGAAATCGGCCGTCGTCTTCGAATCTCTTCACCCAACACTTTCACTCGAAATGGAAGTAAGCTTAACAATTATGAAATAAGCGATTCCTCGAAATCCAACCTTTCTTCACATCATTCCCAGACTTTTCATTGGCATCCAAGTTGACATCGCCTGTAAGAAGCGTCAGTCTTAACAACGAGCAACGACTCGTAATAAATAATGAATTAAGCTAATGTTCGTGAGTAATTTGCTGTTTATAAGAAGTTGGTTTGGTCTTATTTTCGTGTTTATCGAGAGGCTTCGGCGTCTTCTGCCATTATGTCATGCATTTTCAGATTAAAAATTGAATTGGCCCTTGTCGGTAAGTGTGATTTAGGAATTAACAATTAAATTGAAATTCACTCGGTACTTTTTGTGGAGGCAAGGAAATTGCGTGGGAAAAGTGTGGGAAAATTTAATTACCCACCTCCAGCTATCATTGGTGGCTTGCGTTCTTTCAGCCTCAACTCGCTAAATTCATACCTTCCCAGACTTTTCGACAATCTCGAACTCGGCATCGTCATTGAGAAGGGTCAGCTTTAGGGCAAATCAACAACTCGTTAAAGTGATCAATTTCCTCCTCCCTCTTTCTCTGGTACACTTGGTACACTCACACATCATATGAAACCGCTTTGCTTTCACTTTTGCCCCAATTCCCCCCATTTTTCATGGACTGTATCACACAGTTCATATCTCATTTTGTCGACTTCTCAATCCTAAATGGTACCTGACCCTCAGTTTTTCAACTGTCAAACTGGCTAATCAGAAGACAATCGAGAAGTTATTCACATGATCGCTGTCATTGTTGTCATTGCTACTTTCGCTACTCTTTTACCAGGACTCTGGCCGAACCAACTCCACAGGCAATATAGTCCAAACTGGGATAAAATTGACCATCAATCGGGTCACTTTGTTTTATTTGATAGCCCCAATTCTTCCAAGGCCTGCATTCTCTACGCTCCAAGCGAGGAGCATGAATGTTGTGCCCCAGCCTGCATGGAAAAATGGTCGACTGAACCTGTCCCATGGGCAGCGGTTTATGCTCTTTTTCAGACTTCCTTGCTGGACGCCAAGTTGGCGCCAACCTCGACTGGAGCAGAGGCGATCGCCTCGAGGTGAACTGAGCCAAAGTGTGGCACAACACGGTCTGCCGTAGGGCACTTTCGGCAGTGTTTGGACCAGAAATAATCGCTTAACATGCACACTGGCCCACCCGAAAAGTTGCTGAATCGTCTTGTTTGTTTAGCGGACTGTCAACCTGAGTTAAAGTGGCTAATACTTGCCTCTGGCAAAGCTAATTTTGCGGGACTGAGACGCCTATTCTAGACTTTCACATTTCCGAGTTTTCCGCTTCAAAAGACTTCAAGATCTGGCCTGAAGGCTGACCATTTTATGACGATATGCGCTGCACTTGACACATCTGGTGAAGTGAGGCATAAAATCGGTTAAATTTGGGCTGAAGAAACACGTTCTAAAGGCTTAATTACAGACCCCTGGACGGCCAGCACAGATCTTCCATCGGCTAGTTACAATAATGTATACATTTTTCCCAGACCTGGAAGCATTTTGGTCGAGATGCTGAATCCCTGTTGGCGATCAGCGGTTCAACTTGATCTCTGTCTCGCTTTCTCTCATCCTCCTCAATTATATACAAAAAAAAGAGAGTTAGTTCGTATGCTGTGCTATTCTCCACTAATTGAAAAAGTCGTCATAACAACCATTTAATACTGCAAATTGTTGACGCATAATCCATTTTTACTTACGCATTCTGGTGATTGATGATAAAGCAGAGTTTCACCTATTTACGAGGTCTGTGACGGTAGTACAGACAAGAGTATGACACGCGTTGGTATCACGATTTAGCGAGGACTGCTTCGAGCAAATCCAAAGTCACAGTTCTGAGGCGATTTGCCTTGATTTTATTCTGTTGTAGCCGACTTTTCAAACGGAATAATTCTATTAAAAGAAATTATTGAAGTTGCTTGACCTTGTTTTCCCAACTTGGTCATGTTGATAGGAAGACTTAGAGGAGCGTACCTAGTCCAGAGTCCATTGTATGCATCATCATTTCCAGAGTAGGACCGTAGACGTGGTACATTCCCAGACGTTGATGATGCATACAATAAACTCCGGACAAGGTGTGTTCCTCTAAGTTTCCTACCAACATGACCAAGTTGCGAAAACAAGATCAAGCAACTTCTATACAACGAAAGGAGACTGCGACCACACAAAAGGCCACGCCATCTTGGTCTTCATGCCTTCGATAAAACATAAAGTTTAATCGGAGGTATGAAGACC